CTTTTCAGGGAGTTTTTTTCCATCAGAAAATGAAATAAAGGAATGAAGATGAAGCGATTGAATTTTTTAGGGGCAGTATCCCAGCCCCCCGACTTCTTGGTGACAACACTGAGACAGCTGCTATAGGCACAAGGATGGCTCAGGTTCTCCCTTGCCTGAGATACATGAACAGTGAGAACTTCACCATCTCTAGGGTGAGTCACACAGCGAAGAGGTAGATGAGAACTTCACCATCTCTAGGGTGAGTCACACAGCTAAGAGGTAGATAAGAGGGGATGCAAATTGCAAGGGGAAACTCAAGAAGGAGCTGTGATGTGGTCATGCTTTCTAGCGAAAACATTATTCCAATTCCTTTCTTTGTAAAATGGGTTTATTCATACCTAATTCAGAGTACCTTCTGATTATGAAAGAAGGCATCTCACTTCCAGTGGCTCGCCAGCCCTCCTCCCACGTTCCATTTGTTATCTGGATTATTGATACTGTTTATGTTTCCCAAGTCTTTCAAAGTTAAGAAAAAGGTTATCCAAGTCCTGAGAGGTAAAATTTATTGATTTATATCATATCAGCATGTTATGATATGGTCACACCTGCTCATACAGCTGACTTTTTCTTATATCCAAAGAGGAATTTTTTTCCCCTTTAAAAATACATTTTTTAGCAGGAAGAAACACTTTTGAAACAAACATTTCCATATTAAGTGGAAATTAAAAACAATGGCTTTTTTGTTGTTTTCTCCCAACTCATGAGAAATAGGGCTGGTCAGCAACAGATCTCTGAATGCTTCGAATTTGCTTTCAGGCCTCTGCCTCAGGTTGTTCTTTGTCTTCTACAGAAACCAATTCTAGGAGGGGAAAATGACAGCCTCACCGAAAACAGTGGCCTAAACCCAAACAGAAAACGGAAGAGGTAGACTTAATTGCAACTATTTAACTTATTTGGTAGATGGCGTAAGATATTTTAATACATTAAAAAATTTCAGTGGGATCAAACATATTCTACAAATATCGAAATAATATTTTAAATGCTCAAAATGAAACCTTAGATATGCCTATATCACAGTTTACTTTGAAAAATGAAAGCATAGAGCCAACTTTAGAAATATGCAAGTTTTCCATGCACTTCAGGACAAACTGGCTTTCATCGAATTCTTCAAATCAAAAAAGCATGCTCTGTAGGACTGGTGTGAATGCTTTCCCACCTTTTAAAGCCCCTGCCAGGGTCAATGATAGGAATTTCCTGAGAGCACTGAGTAGATTAACTGTGAAACATTTATTCAACGTTAACAGTTAAAAACAAAAAATAAAAAAACCCCAAAACCTCCCCAAAACAGAATAAGGATAGTGGTGTGCTGGAGACAGCTCCTACAAGCTCAAGAGAGTCAACTGTTTAAGTTTTAGAATTTTGCCAGTAGTTGTTCAACACTATTATTGAAATCATGTAAGCTTATGATTGGTGCTGAGGCTAAAAGTGGTTCACTTTAATGTGTATAATTTGTACAAGGTCAAGAAACAGTTTAACATTAGATCATATATCAGACTGAATGACCATACATCTGAGAAATTTGTGGATTAGGATGTAATTCCATTTTTCAAATCATAGTTGAATTGCAGTCATAGGTTGACTACAAGAGTTCAACAAAACTCAAAGCATCCTGAGAGAATCAACTGGCTATATGGAATTTACAATAAAGTATATTTTATTATTATTTGTTGTTATACATCTTTGCTATCAGCAAAATTTATAACAAACTTATGTACGCCTATATACATGATTGTTTTTTTCCAGGAGAGAGAACTATCAAACATTTACCAGTATACCACTAGTTGGGGAGAATAAGGGAGGGGGAAGGAGAAATAGTTTAAAATAAAAGAACAATGTTTTTCCATTTGGATTTTCGGTTTGCCTCCAGCTGCCATGGTGTGTTGTAAGTACACATCTACAGATGTTAATACCAAAATATCTCCGGTAAAACACAAACATCCCATTCCCACTACTAAGAATTAAAAGCACTTTACTTGAAAAAAATCAACTTTATTTTTTCTAGGTTAAAAAAAATAGAACCAGCTATTAATTTTTTGTTGAGAAAATGCTTCTTTTGGTGTTCACATCTCAATTCTGAAAAGATGATCTGGTTACCAAAATAATCCCAATGCTTTTTCATAAACCAGATCCACGTGTGACCAGCCCTTTACAAAAGTTACAGTTGCCACAGCCTTTACATTCATTCTTATCATACATTACAACGTGCAGATACGTAAAGAAAGAGAGACAGGTCACCAAGCTGAAGTAAACATTATGGCATCAGGAAAACTAAAATCCATCTCTATAAAATAAATACAATTTTGTGATAACAGTAAAGAAAATAAAAGCACTTAACAATGGCAGTTTGATGTATCACTGTTTCATTACCCAATCATAAGTCACTGTAAAATGCATAGACTCCTTACATGTAAAGAATTTGTGCATCACAGCCATGTGTTCAACAGTTTTACACAATAAAAATAAAGCCATTCAACATATGTTTGCACATACTTTGCAATGAGAATACACCTAAAATTTTTTTTGCTCTTTAAACTATTTTAAAAAAATATTAAAAGTCCTCAAATGGAAATTCTGCAGAAAAGCCCATATTTTATCTTTTGTATGGCCACAGTCACCCTCCCCCAACAGTTCAGCACCCTCAGCTCATTCCCAGAGTCTAGTTCCTAATTGTTGAGGATCAATGCAAAATAATTACAATAAAGCACCAACGAGTGACCGCTCCGGAGAACACCCAGCCCCTTCGTGATCTAGAAATGTCCAAGTTCGGTGGTTTTGGTCTCAAACACATTAGTCTCCACTCTCTCCTAAAACGAACCAGTATACCTGCTGCCCACTGCTGCTTCTGATGTTGCCTTTCATATGACCAGAAGCAAGGTTCACAGAACTACATGGCAACACATAAGACTAACCATTTTTACCCATCCCGTGTGGGCCACAGCTGGCACGCTTGAAACGGCAACGCTGGAGTGAAGTACTGTGTGATAACGAAAATAACTCACTCTTCCTATGGAGCAGTGCAAATAAAATTTCCTTAAATATAAAAAGAATCCAGTAAGACCATCCATGGTTAAAGACTATGTTCTCTGAATGTGACTGGGTCCCATAAGTTCAGACGAGTCTTTAGGGAAGCGATTGTCAAAAAACGTTACTAAGACAAATCCACAAGAAGTGAGTAATATGAGCAAAGAATGTAGACGCAATCTTAACATCGATCCGAATGATATTAACACTAGAATGGTGTTGAGGTTTACGTTTGGTGATTTAACATTTCATTTTCGTAAAAACGCTTCAGAACAATTGTAATACTGCCAACTCCTGATTACTTAGGGATTCCTTTTCTAGTCTATGGATTATTTAGGCTTTTGTTTCCTCTTTCTGAAGCTGTCTTTCCAAATCTTTTCCTTCACTCACTAACACAGTCATGAATATATAGGCAAGAGAAACTAATAAAGAACTCAAATTGTTTTTTTAAATTAGTAAGTATCCCTAAAAGAAAAAAAAACTGATGAGAATAACAATTCAGACTCTAAATACACTTAGACTTTTGGCTTACTATGACTTACTAGTGGAACAGTTATCCAGTAATCTCTAGTCCCTTTACTGTGGAAAATTAAGGGTTGGTTGTAACACTAAAATATGATAGAAAACATGACAGATTTGAACTCACAGCTATCTTTTTTTTTTTTTAAATCTACTATTTAGATTCTCAACTAGTTTGTTTGCCCGCCCAAACATAATTTCCATTCTGTCATTTGTCTTTACCTTCTACTGGCATATAGGTTTCTCCACAATATCTGTATATTTCAACACCAATAATAGTTTCTGAAGCTAAGGGTGAACTGCTGGGGTGGTCACTTCTGTAGTCACTGCATCTGCTGACGGCCAAGTAGATGCTCCATCACTGTGACGCGTGCTGAGACTCTACAAGCTACTGGTATAAAACTGGCACAGTGTTATTTTCTTTCCCCTTGACAAAATGTGTATTTGTTAAACCTCCTTTCATCTTCCTTTGCAAAGAAAGTACAAATCAGGATATTTTATTCAGTCTGTACAGTGAATATTGCTGCTTCCCTGACTGCCATATAAGAACACTGATTCTCCCTTCACATGCCCTAGTGCAAGCAGGAGCTCCCGCTAATGAGGAAAGCACCAGCAATGCTCTCAGACAAGCGCATTTTTCTAACTAAAGAGAGAGAACAGGTTGATAAAGAATCAAAGAGGGACAGGGCAGATCAAACACATCTATTTACAATGCACAGATCTATTTTCAAAAATTAACTTACACGTCCGTTGTTATTTGTCATTCTAGAGACTGTTGAAATGACTATGCTTGAAAAGTAAAGCATCTTACAGAACAGTTTACTTAACGTGTACAGTATATTAAACAATATCATGTTCCGATCATGTTCCTTTGGAGCACAGTGATGGCAACGGTGGCCCTAAACCACATCTACGTATGCATGTATGCATTCCTCTTTTTTCAACAGGACACTGGCCACTCCACCTGTGGTCTGCTTTAGCAATGAAGAAAAGGTCTAACAGCCAGGACTGTGCATGCCACACTCGACAGTAAGCAACTTATCCCCTAGATGACTGACTAATCTCCCAAATAAACGATTTCAGTTCATCTTATAATCTAGTAGAATGTTCTGGGCCTCAAACAGAAGCATCCTTTAAGCTTTTATTGGCTTCCTATCATACCCATACCTCTAAATTGAGATTGGCTTCGCCTACTCACTGTTACTGTAAAACACATAATGAAATGCTTAGCTTTCAAAAAAACAGCATCTTATAACCACCATTACTGACATCAACACATTAACACTGTCTTCTGCGTTTTACCAGCAGTAGTATAATCAATGAGGTATTTCAGTTAACACATTACTCTTTCTCACACATTGCACTGAATTCACCTAAAGATGAAGCTGCTGTGGGCTTTTATTTGGTGTTGCTTTACCTTTCCCACATAACTGGGAGAAAATTCATACCTTCTCAGTTTTTTTTGGTTTATTTAAAAACAGAAAACATCAGCTTTTACTTTTATTTTCCGGCCAACTTCTCAAAATTGTCATTTGTATGATTAACAACGACAGAGGAATCTACAATGCTCATGTCACAGAAAACTACTAATGACTCACTAGGATCTTAATAGTCTTACAATCCCAAACCAAAAGACCATTCTCTGTCTCAACACAGGGGTGCAGGTGATGGACGATGCAGTGCCAGCACTTTTTGAGAAGAGTTTGGTTCTACTATGAGGTAAATTGCATGAACATAGTGATAAATACAAAAAAAAAAAAAAAAGTTTTCTAAATATAGACTTGACTTTATCCTCTTCAAAAGCAACTGGAAGAAACAGGAAAACCTTGTGTGCTGGTCTCACTCCGGGTCACACCACTCTGTCACGTGTAGCTCCTTAGTGCGCCAGGTTCTGGGGTGCCATGTGAGAACTTGTCACCATTTTAAGCCAGTGTTTGGCTCTAGCTCTTATTTTTCTAATAAACTAGCCTATTTTACCTGATATGGATCATTTAAATGTTTTGCATTTTGTTTCAACCATCCCCAAATGCATTTGGCACTAATATGCCAAAATTAAAAAATGGCAAAGCTTCTGAGCTAGACAGAAGCCTCACCTTGGTGGTGTCCATGTAAGGGTGGCACGGAAAAGCATCAGCACACAGATAAACACGCAGACAAGACAGCCTCTCAAGAATCCCACTCACTGATTATGCTTACGTTTGTTTTCAGGCTACATTACAAATCCTTTGCTATATATGCATCTGATAAAAGTGCATTTTGTAAAAGACAGTTATCAGTCTACAATATGCCTTCCATACAAAAGGAGAAATCAAGTGACCCCCTCCCACAAGGGAAAGCACCAGCGCATGTAAACACGGTGTCGGCCTGAGCTAGCCAGCCTCGTTATGGAGCACGTTCTAGTACCGGACGTGTCCATCGGATACTGCTTCCCTCTCTAGGGCACGCCTGACACTGAACTTCAGTTGCTGAGGACCAGAGTGTCACTTGCAAATGACAGGAAAACAGTTCTTCAGAAGGTAACAAACCAACGCCCTCGAGGTTCCTAGTGACACAGCTGAGTTGTGGAGGCGAGGGCTCTACAGCACTGCCCTGATGGAGACGCCTAGCTAAGAGCACAAATACAACTTTCTGAGCTTGAACTAGATAATCAAGTATATCTGGTGGCAAAAGAATTTCTCTCGGTCTTCTAGGATGATTTTATGATTTCGTCTTCTCCAAATGTGATGTTTACTAAAATTTGTGGTAGAGTGTACCTCTTTAAAACATGGAAAGTCCTTAAAACATAGTAGCAGGTCATTATATTACTCATCCTCGTTTTAGCAGTTTTAAAATATCCCAAAGGGGGATAAACATGAATCCATCCATGGAATTTCCTTTGCTTATTTTTATATTCTGATTTGCACATGTTGAATAATGCACACTCATGGAAGTCTGAACTCCTATGGTGACCTTGACAAGTCCAAGTCAGTTCCTAAAACAGGCAATGGTAAAAATACTGAATGACGTTGTACCACATGTAACCTGACAAAAATGCAAAAGATTGTATGAGAAAGATCCACATATTGCTGAGGGTCATCTCTCTGGAAACGGCTTCCTTGTGGCCCTTGGGAGGTGGAAAAGCCCCTGAAAGAGAAGAGAGAAATATTACTTTGTTTTATGGTGGTGATAGGTGTCCTGGAGCAAAAGTTGAATATCGATTTAACTAGAGTTTTGTTTGTTTGTTTAAGAATCTTCTGTGACTTCCCATTGCTCCTGAAGAAAGATCTCATCTGAAATGCCAGTTTCAACCTGCGGAGTGCTGCCCTGCCTCTAAGCCTTGGCCTTCATTCCCTCTGCCTGGAGCTGCTCCTCCTCAGTCTCATCTCAGTGATTAGCAGGTCCCTCTGAATTCTTCCAAAATCTGAAGAAACAGCACCTGACTCCCTGCCTCAGTCACTTACTCCCATCTCCATGTTTATTTCCTTCTTGGCGCTTTCTACAATCTGTAATGATCCCCATCTATCTCTCCTTTTTTCTACAGACTGTCTGGCTCCTGCTGGACTATAAACTGCATGAGAGGAGGCACTCTGGCTGCCTTGTTTTTCACAATATCCTTAGAGATTTTCACAGTGGCCAGGATACAAGATGTGTGAAACCGATATCAAATACTTTCTGAAATAGCGTAACTTATACTAATTCTTCTATTTATAAGTTAAATGTCCTTACCACAAAAAGTGGTTGTAAATCACGGATATTTTCAAAAGGCAAGATGGTTTATGAAATATATCTTCATAAAAAGGAGAAACACAAAGTAAACAGATTTCTGGAAAGGAGAACTCCATCACTTCAGGCACTATTAGGGAAGGTCAGCTTGAGAACACTCCTCAGCATTTCAAACAGGCTTTGTCCCTCCTGCTAATCTCTACCCTAAGCTGATTCATGAGGGGATTTGCTTCTCACAAGCAATTTACATAGAATACTTTCAAGTTTCAAGGTCCATTATGCAAATAGCTTTCTTAAAAAGAAGCTTCCATTATTGTTGCTACAATTTAGGCCAAATATCATAAAGCGAGAGACTCAGTCTGAAAGAGAGATCTTGTTAGTCTCTGAATCGCCTCATGCCTTCTTACATATCCATCCTGTCTTGTCTTTAAGGAAAACTTGAGAGTAAGATCAAAGACTGAACACAGGGAGAGGGACACCTTGTTCAATCAGTCTTACTAGGAAGTCCAAAGACATACACAGTGTGCAGCTCTTGTCATATGATTATGTGCTACTCCACGGCCCCAGAGTCAGAAAGTTAAGATCAAGAAAGAATTTCGTTGAGGGCAAAGTGAAACAACCTTAAACTCAAAAACAAAAGCTCTGAAGGTAATTAACAGTATCTGCCTTTGCTCAACGTCAGGGCTTTGACAGTCTGATTTAACGTGAACTTTATGTCGGTACCAAAAAACATCGAATGGGAAGAAAACAGCACCTGCTGTTAATCTAAAATCCCATGGCCAATCTCAGACCTGGGACAACTTTCCCTTCACCTTGTCTCCCTACGGTAACCTCTATCGAACAGACCTACAGATAACTGCTATTTGTGAAAGCGCTCTGGTAGTCAGTGCCTGGATTTCCACGATGTTAACTTCCTTCTTTTCTTCTTCACTCTTTCTTCCACCCCTGCTCTTTTTTACTGCCCAGTAGTTTTCATAGAACATAGAGAATATTAAGTACAGAAACCCTTAGGGTAAATAGACTTTTTTCTCTGAAAGAGAAAAGTATAAGGGTGTATTCATGACAATTAAAAAAGTGAACTAACTATATATAAAGAAAAGAATACGCACATTAAAAGGCAGTTAGAAATGATCTCGAATGACTGCTGGATGATGGTATTATTTAAACCATCAAATACAATGCCAAACATGAATGTTATTTGCTGTTTCATAAAACAGCCCATATAACTGTATATGCACAATTGCAGTCTTCCAAGGACTGTGTACTCTCTTGACTTGGATCCATTTGTACAACGTTTTACTCATCATTTGATCTTTGCACACTGGCTGATGAAGTAAGAGCCCAAATAAATTTCATATAAATTTATCTTTATGAAAATTCTAAGCTGGACTCTTAAATATAGAAATAACCCCCTGGGGTATCTGAAGAATGAAAAAATGGTTATCTCCCCTCAAGCACACTTCGGGAACTATCAGAAACCTCGGGAAGGTACGTAAGAGGATATTGTGTACCTGTTTCATAAAAATGTGACAAGAGGTCCTCTTTTTCAATAAAACGTTGATAAAGCCAGTCAGAAAGGTCATCAGTCTCCAGGGGTACATCTTTAATTGGAAAGATCCTATTAAGAAAAAAAAAAAAAGGGCAAAAACTTTAATTCATAAGTGGAAATCATTCAGAACCACAATTTAGCTTGGGCGACTGAAAAGTTGAAGTTATGGAATCTTCTTTTGCTTTTGTTTCTTCATCTTTTCTTCAGCTTTTTAAAAAGTTGTTGTTGATTATATAATTACATTCATTTATTCATTCATTCAAACATTTACTAGCCTCTTGTATATTAGGTCCAGTGCTAGATGCTAAAAACATACTGAGATTATACTATATGTAGAAATAAGTACTGAGAAATAACTGTCTTCCTACGTTTGTGATTAAGTAGAAATAGTGTTTACAACAGATCGAGTTTTAAAAGGCAGCTACTTTTGGACACATTACAGTAGTCAAATGCTAGGCCAAATCATGCATCTTAACAATGTTCTTTTGCTGGAAAAGTCTGTGAACTAGACAGAATCCCCCCAAATTGGTGCCCTTTGGCTAACTATATCAGAGATATTGGTTTCATGAGCAAAGCCAACTCTTAGTGATTGGGAGTGGTTGTTGGAACAGGATTCTGAAGATTTTGCAACCCTGTCCTGACTCAACAGGAAGTAGACTGGGATGATTAGTGATAAATATCCACTGGAGGTGAGAGCAGAAAGGGGCAGCATCAGTGCTAGATATCTGCTGACCCTGAAAAAGGTTTTTTTTATTTATTTTCCAATTCTGTGGATTAAAAAATTGTTTTTTCTTTATCAAAGGTATAAAGGAGGTACACAGTTTAAAAGTCTACGAAAGGTTTGTTTATATGAAAAATAGCAGTCTCTGTCCCTGTGCCCCTTGTTTCTCCCCAAAAGAATCTATTTTTAGCTCAGTTAGCTAATTATCTTGATATTTATCACCATGTTTCTTTGTTAGTTTTAGGGCTTATCTACTCACTTCTCACTATGGAAGATGAGGATTAAGCTCCTTCCTGTTCCTATTCCCACTACCCAGGCACATCCTTCCCACCTTCCCAGTGCAGCGTATGGTAATTTTAATTAACACGATATTAGCCATTTACATTATTATAATCATGTAAATATACTGAATGCTAAGACATGTAGTAAATCATGGCAACTTTGCCTTTCCTGCCAATGTTTGTTCTCCCTGGATTGAGCATTGTTTTCTATGTACACATAACTGATTCAACCACAAGCTCTTGCCCAAGTGTCAATCAATTCTCTAGAAGAAGTTTGTAAACTTTTTCTTAAAGGGCCAGATAGAAAATATTTAGATTTTGCAGGCTATGTGGTCTCTGGAGCAACTATTCAACTCTGCCTTGTAATACAAAAGCAGCCACAGACAATTTATAAACAAAAGGGTATAGCTGTGCTCAAATAAAATTTTATTTAAAAAGCTGGCAGCGGGCCAGATTGACCTGTGGTCTAGATCTTCTCTCAAGGCATTCGCAGGAATCGGACATTCTTTCAAGTTCATCTTCCTGAAGAAATTTTACCCAGAGTCTGGATTTGCTGCCTGTAGTTTTCATCTTCGGAAGGCCCTTCACCTTCATCCTGGTGATTGTCTGCACTCCTAAATGGATTCGATTTTCTTACATCTCAAGTCTTCCTCTTTCTATATTCACTCCACTTTTTGATGGAGCACATCCTCCAGCACTTCCTTGAGAAAGGGTACTTGAAATCTTGCATTTTTGCCAATGCTTTCTTTCTGTTCTCACACCTGGTTGATAATTTGACTAGATACAAGATTCGGGGTTGGAATTCATTTTCCTCCACCTCTGTCTTTTAGTCCTTCTTCCTTTCTGGGAGATTTCTTATTTAATTTCTAAACTTTTTACTGAGCTTTTATTTCTTTTAACATGTTTTAATTTCTAAGAGCTCTCTGAATATTCCTTTTAATAGAATGCTATAATTGTTTTGTTGCAATATCTTATCTTTATGAGATTCATATCTATATGAGAATTAAAACATGCACAAAAGCAGAGAAAAGCGTTAAATGAACCCCCATGTACTATTAGGATTTTCGGAAGCTGTACTTTCCCTGTACAGTCTCCGTTCTTCCAAGTCGGCTTCCTATATTTGTTTCAGTCTCCATCCTCCACAATAGAGACCTATCAGACGACCAGTTATCTGGTAATTCTTTGTTGCTCACTCACATTCAAAGATGTGGGACTAGACAGTTGACTGAAAGCTCTCAGCATGCAAGTGGAGATTGTGAGCTTCGCTGAGAATTACCTGGCTGGGCCATTTAAATTGCTCTCTCTACTTGAAATCACCAGTTCCCCAGAGAAAGATCCTCTAATGTTCTGCCTAGAGAGTAAAGGCCTGATTGCTACCTTCCCGGTAACAGAGTGAGAGGCCAGGGCAGGGAGTCTCAGCACATAGGGCACTTACATCACTTAACCATGTAACTTTCACTATGGGACCTCTGCCTCAACTGTGCCTGGCGTTCCTGAGTCCACAGAGCCTCGTTTCCCTCTCCAGAGTAAGCCTCCAGGATAATTCCCGAGCCGTGGGCTGTAGAGTAGGGGTCCTGGGGATCTGAGTTCTCCTTACACAGGTTTCAACCAGTCTTGCCAAGTTTAGCAACCCATTCAACCTCGTTCCCACAGGTACTGATGCTGTTGGTTTTTTAGCCTTTTGGAAGTTCTATGGTGTAAATAAGATTGGCTCTGGGCTTTTCCCACAGCTGACTTAGGGTTCTGTTACATTATTTGCTGCTCTCTGTTTTCAACTTCCCAAGTTTTGTTGTTTTGGGGCTTGTGTTTTAACAGAAATCCTACTCTAGCATCTGCCTAGAATAGCTTGGACATTCTCTTGCCTTAGGAGACAGACAGGAGGGCAAACCAAATGCTCCCTCAAAAGCGATCTACTTCTATTACTGATTGTTTGGTCACCGCGGGATTAAAATATTAAAACAACTAATCCCCTAATATGGCAAAGTATCAAATGCACTGAATACCAGTTCTCTTAGAATCAAATAAAAGGAATTATTCTGGGATATAAATAAATAAACAAATAAACAACAGAAATAAATCTTTTCAATACCAACAGCTAACCAAATGAGAAACTAGCTAGCTCCTAATTTTCAAGAAACAAAAATTCTCATTATCTGTAATCCAGAATGTGCTCTTAAATCCAGAGTACTCTAGCAAACTCCATAGAATCAACTTTCAGAGCACAAGATAAATTGCACTTTCACAAAAAAAAAAAATCAAATAATGCTTAGCAGTTGGCATATCTATAAATCTGAGTTAAAACATTTGAATTTTCATGCCACCCTGTGAGTTAAACAACATGGCTAAACCCTCAATTCGATTCTGTGAACTACATGTAAGGAGCTAATAATAAGCACAGAAAGTTTTGAGATAAACAGTTCCACTTTCAAAAACCTAATAACCTAGCAGACGAATACCAAAAGTAAACAAATAATCCAAAACCAGAATACTGTAAATATAGTATAAGGAGTTTAAATAATTTCTGTGTAAGTTTTAATGAAGGGGTGTGTGTGTCTACTCATGGCACTGGATACATGAAAAAGGCATCATGTGCATTGGCCTAAAAGAGTTAAGTAGAATTCAAAATTTAAAAAAAGTCTACGGCCATGTCACCCTGAACACGCCTGATCCCATCTGATCTCAGAGCTGAGCAGGAGTGGGCCTGGTTAGTACTTGGATGGGAGACCACCTAGGAAGACCAGGTGCTGTAGACGTAAAAAATAAAAAATAAGAGATTGTAAGCTGACAAGGTCCTTGCAATCTGTGAGGTCAACCAAGGGTTGCCTCACCTAAAAAAAATTAAAAAAATTTTTTTTTAAATTAAGCAATAATATGCATATAGTTTTAAAAAATCAGAGTACTACAAGATTCACAATGAAAAATAAGAGCTCTACTTTTTCTCTCTTCAAATACTGGTTACCTAGAAAACTTCCTTTTGCTATTCACTTCCATATTGCTTATAAACATGCTAATACCACTATCCTGGATCATCCAATTTAGAATGTATTCACTGACTTCCTCCTCAGGAAGACAAGAATGTGGCTCTTTTACACCTTGTCCTCTGTCCCTTAGGCCCTCCTTCTCCTCCTCCTCCCTACGTGGCTAATAACGCCTTCTCAGTGACAATCCTGTCTTTTTAATTACACTTACTACTGTATGTTCTATTTGTTTTCTTATATGTCTGTTTCCTCTATCAGACTGTGCTGTACTCATCTTTGCATGCCCAACGTGTAAATCAGTGCCTGCTTCTTTGTGGGAACTCAAGTTTGCTGAACTGAATTAAATTGAAAGCAATTTGCCAGCATAAAACTTTATAAGGTGCCATCTGTAGACAGTCATCAGTATCAGGGGCATAGTTAACTGACATCACCAGGGTTAGTGTGACAAGAATATCTCAGAAATGCTGAAACTACTTGCCACCAAAAATAGATTTATGGCCAAGAATAGATATTGTCAAATTTAGCATATCAGAATTTCTTCCAGCATTCAATTCCCAGAATGGCTTTGAGCCACTGTCCTGAGTTAAGCTGCTCAAGCCTCATCCTCAACATACTAAAATATATTATTTATAGCTTCTCCCTGGATCCACTAGAGAAGTTTTAAAAAATCCTCAATCAACTGAAAATAGATTTTGGCAACTCAGATATGAACTTTTAGTGGCTTTAATACAGGGATAAACCAAGGCTCCAAGGTAGCAAACCTAGAGTCATATAAAAGAGAATTTTGAGTGGCTTTCAAGTTTGTGTAGAAAGAGACAACAAATACTCAGCACGCAGGTTACTGCTTCCCTTCACAGTCAGGAATAATTGAGCCTGGTACCCTTTCCCCTTGAGCCCTGCTCCTTGTAATAGCCAAAGCTATAGCAAACTAGTTTGCCACTTGGTGGTATAAACAATGAGATGGCACTGTTTAGACCTCAATTTTTTTTTTTATTATATTTTTATTCGTGTTATATTATTTGAGACACAGTAAGAATCTTAAATGCTTGCTGAATTAACTGATGTGAACTATTTGCTAAGGAAACATGA